TTTGTTTTAATGTTCTGTAATTATTTATGATTTTAATGCATCTTGTTCAGCACTTTGAGTTGCCTTGTGTATGAATTGTGCTATACAAATAAACTTGCCTTGCCTTGCCTTGCAGTGCGAGGTGTGAGAGCTGTCCGTGGTGCTGATCTCTGCCCCCGCATTGTCTGTCGCTGCTGTCTCTGTGTTCTGACCGCTGAGGTGGAGGAACACAACAAAAGAACATGTAAAAGTCCTACACCAGTACATGTGACAGGCGGTACATTAAAGCTGCGGTACCTAACTTTTTCTTAAACTAAATTTTTTGTGCCAACCGAAAAATACTATGTTGTGAACAAGTCAGGCCACAACATGATATTTAAATCTTATTTGAAAACGCATTAAATTTTGCATCAATGTAAAGTATGAGCCCAGGGAGTCACTATTTGACACTTTGGACTGAAAAAGTTGATCTAACTGTTTTGAAAGCCATGGGAATTGTCGGATTGATATTATTTCACTGTTTGTATAGTTTATTTTTAAAGATGCAGTCAGTGATTTTCTTCCAGACACATTTGTTTAAATATTGTTGGAAAACGTCCCTAAACCCTAAAAGTATCAAGTTATCATGTGTTTTCAAATAGTAATGGAATTTGGAGTAATGACCAGATGTCTGTAGTCTACAAGAATTGCCAACAAGTATTTTGGAGCGGACCGATAAAAATAAACCAATGGGATGTGTTTACCGCCTTCACCCTCTTCCTGTTTCTCACGAGTGCACCGGAGTTATTGGATTTTCTAAAACCTAAAATGGCTGAACAGAAAATGCCAATTTCACGTTTGCTACACTCTCTCTGTTGTGACAAAGAAAAGACAATGCTGGATGTTTGGGTTGGTGGAGAGGGAGGGGAGGGAGGAGTGGTTAAGTGGAGAGGGGAGGGGGGAGTGGTTTCCAGTCGGTGCTACGGCTAAGCTAACCACATTGCTTAGCTTACTGCATCTTTAAGTAACTCAGCTTTAACTTGGAAAAAGTGCACCTGCTTTAACAGAAACTTTACATTATAGGGCTGTTTGATGTCCTTAAATGTTCTGTTTAAAATATCTTTAAAATGCTCTTCTCTGGTCGTCACCGCCGTCACCGCCAGCACAGTGCAAACTATTGTCTTTTTATCAAATATTTATAGCAGTGCGGTCTCTAAATTAAGCGTTGTCTCTTCCTCCCTTTCTCCCCGTGTGCCTTTGAAGCAGGAGAAGCCGTCGCTCCAAACACTTCTTTCTTCGGGCTACATCCAAACGCTCTATTTTTAGCACCTACAGCTTTTTTGGCTCATAAAAACTAGGTCATATTCTCCTCTATCTCTCCCGAACAGGTTCAAATCATTTCACTTTTCATCTAATATATTCTCCGGCTTCGTTTCATCCCACTTCCTGAGATCTTTTCCTGCAGAGAAATGTTCAAAGTGGAGCGTATCGTGACAGCGGCTCGCGGCGGCACAAGTTGGAGCACATAAACTTTAGAGAGAGGAGGACGTCAGGGCGGATCAGGAGCAAAGTGGAGCCCTGAGTCACGGCTGGTTGTCACGACGACGCATCATCCCATCGCTGCATCAGGAAGATTAAATATATATGTGTATTGTTATCTATATGTATTTGACATTGTATCAGGGTCCTTGCTGTTTAGTTCAATGCTTATTATAATCACTTCCTTTTTTTTTTTTTTTTATCTTTATAATTTTTTTTGCAGACGCACAAATTTACAGAAAAAGATAAACAAAAGAAAGACCAGAAATACTGCTCTCTCTCTTCACATTGTCATCCACAAAAAGATATATCCTTGAATATTTAAGTTCTTGCATATGTTTAAGCACAAACCCTAAACCCTCTCGGCGCCAAAGAAGCAGAATTGCTCCTACATCCAGGACACTTTCTTTACAGCGACTTGGCTTCCCACAAACCTGTTCCTACATACAGAACTTCATACGTCATTATCTTCAATCTTTTTCTGTTATTTATTAAAGGAGCAGTATGTAAAGAAGAATATTAAAGACATAATTTATCACACGTTTCTCTGCTCCTGGTTCCTATTTCTTAAAGTAGCAATATGTAAGATTTGCTTAAAAATACATGATTAAAGGGCCCTATTCTGTCATCATTAAAGGGCCCTAATCTGTCGTCATTAAAGGGCCCTATTCTGTCATAATAATAAACTGCTCTTTTCCAATCCTTCTTTAACTGATCACAGTAGTTCAGAGATATTTGAATTTCTAAATTACTTTTCCAGCCTCTAAATCTTGTTATTATTTTAATTCCAATGTCCCGCCCTCCACCATTTCACCAATCAGAAAGTCTGTGATCCGGGCGCCAGAACTCACCGCGTGGAGCTAATCTCACTGGTAAAGTACCATGTGGCGCAGAACTATAAAAGGTCTTGTTATGATTCTCAAATCATTAACGACAAAACAAGAAATAAAACCAGGATTTCTATCTTTGTGAAAAAGGTGTTGGTTATAGATTTGTTGTTGACAAAACTCTTGTCTATTCAGCTGTTATGGTCCCAGCTGGATTCGTCTGCATATCTGGCAACCTGAGTCAGGGAGAGTGGGAGAGGCTGCAGTACCACTTTTGGCCGGATTTTTACTGCTCCTTTTACAAAAATGCACAGATTGTTTACCACTTCATCCTTGTGTGTGATAACAGCAGATGTTTAATCCACTATAATCTGTGCCAAGACAATTTTCAGACAATTTCCTGCTATTTTGTGCCGCGCTGCTCACTGAATATGAATGTGTTTGTATAAAGGATTCTTGGACCATTGGATTGAACTTGTAAAAAGTCTTGTCTGGAAGAAGTGTGTTTGACTGACAGAAAGCGAGAGCGTCCAGGGGCACAGACTCAGGCTCTCTCACTGACTCAGGCTCTCTCACAGACTCAGGCTCTCTCACAGACTCAGGCTCTCTCACTGACTCAGGCTCTCTCACAGACTCAGCTCTCACGACTCAGGCGACTCAGCTCTCTGACTGACTCAGCTCTCTCACGATCAGGCTCTCTCACAGACTCAGGCTCTCTCACGACTCAGGCTCTCTCACAGACTCAGGCTCTCTCACAGACTCAGGCTCTCTCACTCAGACTCAGGCTCTCTCACAGACTCAGGCTCTCTCACAGACTCAGGCTCTCTCACAGACTCAGGCTCTCTCACAGACTCAGGCTCTCTCACAGACTCAGGCTCTCTCACACTCGACTCAGGCTCTCTCACAGACTCAGGCTCTCTCACAGACTCAGGCTCTCTCACAGACTCAGGCTCTCTCACAGACTCAGGCTCTCTCTCATCAAGACTCAGGCTCTCTCACAGACTCAGGCTCTCTCACAGACTCAGGCTCTCACACTCAGACTCAGGCTCTCTCACGACTCAGGCTCTCTCACAGACTCAGGCTCTCTCACGACTCAGACTCTCTCAGACTCAGGCTCTCTCACAGACTCAGGCTCTCTCACTGACTCAGGCTCTCTCACAGACTCAGGCTCTCTCACGACTCAGGCTCTCTCACAGACTCAGGCTCTCTCTCACACGACTCAGGCTCTCTCTCACGACTCAGGCTCTCTCACAGACTCAGGCTCTCTCACAGACTCAGCTGCTCCGGTCTCTCACAGACTCAGGCTCTCTCACAGACTCAGGCTCTCTCACAGACTCAGGCTCTCTCACAGACTCAGGCCTCTCACAGACTCAGGCTCTCTCACAGCTCAGGCTCTCTCACAGACTCAGGCTCTCTCACGACTCAGGCTCTCTCACAGACTCAGGCTCTCTCACAGACTCAGGCTCTCTCACGACTCAGGCTCTCTCACAGACTCAGGCTCTCTCACAGACTCAGGCTCTCTCACAGACTCAGGCTCTCTCACAGACTCAGGCTCTCTCACGACAGACTCAGGCTCTCTCACAGACTCAGGCCTCTCAGACGACTCAGGCTCTCTCACTAGCCAGATAGCTCTCACGATCACTGACTCAGGCTCTCTCACAGACTCAGGCTCTCTCACTGACTCAGGCTCTCTCACAGACTCAGGCTCTCTCTCGACTCAGCTCTCACGACTCAGGCTCTCCCTGACTCAGGCTCTCTCACAGACTCAGGCTCTCTCACAGACTCAGACTCAGCTCTCTCACAGACTCAGGCTCTCTCACAGACTCAGGCTCTCTCACGACTCAGGCTCTCTCACAGACTCAGGCTCTCTCACAGACTCAGGCTCTCTCACAGACTCAGGCTCTCTCACAGACTCAGGCTCTCTCACAGACTCAGGCTCTCTCACTGACTCAGGCTCTCTCACAGACTCAGGCTCTCTCACAGACTCAGGCTCTCTCACTGACTCAGGCTCTCTCACAGACTCAGGCTCTCTCACAGACTCAGGCTCTCTCACTGACTCAGGCTCTCTCACAGACTCAGGCTCTCTCACTGACTCAGGCTCTCTCACAGACTCAGGCTCTCTCACAGACTCAGGCTCTCTCACTGACTCAGGCTCTCTCACAGACTCAGGCTCTCTCACTGACTCAGGCTCTCTCACAGACTCAGGCTCTCTCACAGACTCAGGCTCTCTCGGAGGCGGAGGTGACGGATGAGATGTTTACTGGAGCTGGCAGAGTCTGGGAAAAAAAATATAACATCTAAACAGTGAAGGACGGCTCTAAAGCAGCTCTGATTTCAAACTCACATCTGGTCTCTCTCTGGTCTCTCTCTGGTCTCTCTCTGGTCTCTCTCTGGTCTCTCTAGTCTCTCTCTGGTATCTTTCACTGGTCTCTCTTTCTGGTCCCTCCCTCTGGTCTCTCCTGGTCTCTCTCTCTCTCTCTCTCTCTCTCTCTCTCTCTCTCTCTCTCTCTCTCTGTCTCTCTGTGGGAAGAATGTACTCCCATTATTAAAACGTCTCTGTCTCGAAGCCCAAAAACAGATTTAGAGCCGAGAAAACACAGAGAGAAAGTGGACTCTGTTTCTACCCATTCCTTTGTTTCATTCATCTCTCTCTCATGCGGGTTTGTGAATGGAGACATGATGGAGGGGGGAGGGGGGGTTATTGGGGGAGCGAGGGATGAAGGGAGAACCGGTGAAGGTCGAGCATCTCAAGTGTGTGTTTTGTGTAAACGTGTGACCGTGTTGTGTACCTCAGATGTGGGTCAGTGGAGACATGAGAGGGCGACTCAGGAATACAGCAGCAGGTTGTAAACACGAAGCTGTTCTGTCTGTTCTGAATCTGTCGAGTTACGGTGTGTTTTAGTGGTTGCTAATGTATCAAAACACTGTGTATAATTCTGTTTTGAATATGGAGTATATAGTATAGAGTATATATCCTACTCACTTGCATTGAAAAGTAAACTCTTCTGGCTCAGTAACAGTCATTTTGGGCTAAAACAAACCCGTAGTTCAGAGCTCTCTAAGTCCTGGTGTTTAAGCTTGACCAATCAGATGTCTTTATTTGTGGGGGGAAATCCAGTTCGTATTAGCAACCATCTTAGCCACACATCTGCCCCTGTTACTGCGCAAAGCTAACGCCGTCAAAACAAATGCCCAAATAAGGATTTTGGCTCTAGCTACTTTATGGTCAAATCAACTTCTTCCGCTTTCAGTAATGATCCCAAACCTCTGCATCTTCTGTCGTTTTATCTGTACTCTTTTTATGACACTGTGGCCAAGTGTGATTTTTCATTTCATTTTTTGTTGTATGTATTTGTTCAGGTTTGTGCAGGATTCAGTTGTTGTGACATAAATACATAGATACACATTTCCTCCTCATGTTTTAAAGTTTTTATTGACTTTGTGTGTGTGGTTTCATTCTGTGTTTAGTATTTCTTGTGATCTTTAGGGTTGTGTTTAATCATATTATGCAGAGTTCAATGTGTATGACTTATGCCTGATATGTTATGGTTGTGTGGCGTTGTGTGTTTCTTTGTGAAGGAAAAGTGATCCACAAATAAAAGTGGATTGATTGATTTTCTTCAATAGTTGTTTATAAATGTATAGATTATTTGTGAGCTGTAATCTTGTTGAAGGGTTTTTGTTTTGCATTTCGCTGACACATGTTTCAGCTCTGCCTGAGCCCAGCGTTGGTCTGATGTGTTTTAACAACATCGATAACACAACCGGCGCTGTGTGTGACAGAAATACAATCATCCACGTGAAAAAACTTCATATACAGCAGTTTTTTCTACAAAACCAGAACTTTGGCGTCACCCACGAGGAGCACAGGCTTTTAGTTCACAATTCACAAGTGTAGATACAGATAGATAGATAGATCTCTGTCGGAGAAATGCATGTGTTCAGTAGAAGCAGAAACACGTTCATCCAAACAAACAAAACAAATAAATAGATCATTGATTAAAATATAATAATATATAATACAATAGGATTAAAATGTAACCGTCCTTCAGGTCACAGCAGCAGAGGTTTGGTTTGGACCATTTTCTCTGCTCTGGTCCAAAGTAAAAGGATAAATGCTTCATAAGCATTTTTCAATAAGTTAGCATTCCCCCATTTTGGCCTGATCCACTTGGTTGGGACCATGAATCCTCTCTGCTCTGGTCTGGACCAGTGTAAAACCATGAACCCTCTCTGCTCTGGTCTGGACCAGTGTAAAACCATGAATCCTCTCTGCTCTGGTCTGGACCAGTGTAAAACCATGAATCCTCTCTGCTCTGGTCTGGACCAGTGTAAAACCATAAATAATTTCATGTTCCAATTTTAGTGTATGCACTGGGCCCCAGCAGGAGGCCCCTCTGCTCCAGGTTGAAAACATATTCATAGAAAAGTCCTCTTTCTTTACCCTTTACTTTCTGTCATTTGACTTGGAGATTCTTATCCATGCATTTGTCTCCAGTAGGTTAGACTACTGCAATGGCCTGCTCACAGGTCTGTCCAAACAGGCTGTAAAACAGCTGCAGTACATTCAAAATGCAGCAGCTCGAGTCCTGACTAGAACCAGGAAGTACGACCATATTAGTCCTGACTAGAACCAGGAAGTACGACCACATTAGTCCTTGTCACTCCCGTATTCGTCCCGGAAACCGGATTTGTCCGGAAGTTCAGTTTGCAAATGTCAAAAAGTTTAATATGTCCTTAAGTGGTGACTGGTTAAGTTTAGGCGTCTGATTAAGATGGTTAAGTTTAGGGTTAAGGCTGGGTTGGGGTTATTTTATGGGAATGGCTGGTTAAGTTTAGGCATGAATAGGTCGTTTGTACTTCCGCTTCCGTCCAGATTCCGTGACGTAATCTACTGCTGCGTATGCTCATTGGATCAAACTGAACTTCCGGACGAATCCAGTTTCCGGGACGAATACGGGAGTGACAGTCTTGACTAGAACCAGGAAGTATGATCACATTAGTCCTGACTAGAACCAGGAAGTACCATCACATTAGTCCTGACTAGAACCAGGAAGTACGACCACATTAGTCCTGACTAGAACCAGGAAGTACCATCACAAAAGTCCTGACTAGAACCAGGAAGTACCATCAGATTAGTCCTGTCCTCAGGTCTCTGCTCCCCGTGGCTCAGAGAATACTTTAAAGCAGCTCTGTTTGTCATTCGCACAAAAGTACATCTGAGACATGTTAGTGCAGTAAGAACCACCTCTGACTCTGAGGGGTACAGGGACTGGCCTGTTGACTTATCCACTGTGTAAAGTCTCTCAGTCCTGACGTCAATGTTTCAGTGAAATCATAATGTTCTGGGACTCTGAGCCAGGACGGCCCACGGCTCTGTTCATCTCACTTAGCAGCAAAGCTAACGACGTCCTCTGTTCTTGTTTTCTGTCAAACGACTCGTAACGGCTCCACTCACTGTTCCTGAAATAGTTGTGTCTGTCTGTGGCTCTGCTTCTCTGGCTGTGAACCCAAAGAGTGTCTCTGATCTGTTATTAAAGGTGATGTGTGTGTGTCTGCGGAGAGAGGAGAGGATTGTGTCAGAGCCTCAGAGTTTCATGTTATGCAACATTGTTTCCTCAAAGATCAGGACTTTGTTTTTACATCCGTTCATGTCAGACACTTTAGACACCATTCAGCACAAACCTCAGTCCTCGTTCTACAGTCTGAGTCTGTGGAGTGGTCCCTTTCTCAATATGGAGATTGTGTTACCAATGTAGGGTCAAGACAGGAAAGATCTGGGACATATGTGGACATTTATGGACATTTATGGACATTTATGGACATTATGGACATTATGGACATTTATGGACATTATGGACATTATGGACATTATGGACATTATGGACATTATGGACATTATGGACATTATGGACATTTATGGACGTTTATGGACATTTATGGACAGTGGTTTTCTCGTTCTCTTTGGACCAATGGCTCTTTGGTGTTTATTAAGTGTATGTATTTGTAAAGTCCTCCGAGACGACGGCTGTCCTGATTTAGGGCGAGACACAAATACTTTTAATGAAATGAACTGAATCATGTGACAGTTTTACCACAGTGAGTGCACAGAAAGGCACCATATAAATAACATTATTATTATTACACTGATTTATATATATATTTATTTGGCAAACATTACAATGATTTTTTCATTGTTTTTTTGTGAATGAACAGTATCAAAATAAGCCTTGAAATTCAGGCCTCAGTCCTGTTTTATTATTGAGTCTGCTGCCATCTAGTGGACATTTCTATACTTGCAATTTCAGGTAATTTTCATCTTAAGTTTAAAGACGATTCTATAATAATGTGTTGGCCTTAAAAAAAACAGTTTACGTGAAAAAATACATTTTGGGTTTCTAATTTTAACCTTTTTATATAAAGTGCTTTGTCCAAACTGAGAATATAAATGATAAACAGATAAAATCAATTAAATACAAAAATTTCCACAAACTCTTAATTCTGGGTTTTCTTGTTTTTGTCAATGACATTTACAGACGTTTTACTTTCTCCATTTCTCCGTTTACTCCTTTAAAAAGCCACATTCTTTTTTCTTTTTTCTAAGATGTTGGACATTATTAACACAAATACCTTTTTTTCTATTCCTCGTTTTTATTATTGGCCTTTAATAAATGGCTGAGGTGCAGTTTGATGTAAAAGTGTCATAAACAGTTCCAAACATTAAGTCGATATGGATCCAACAAACGGTTGAGGAAACTATTAAAGAATGAGAAGATGCCACAGTTTGAAATATATCAGTAATTTATATTTATCCAGGAGCTAAACTGCATGTGCAATTTTCTTCTATTCTTCTGTCCCAGATTGAGGCAAAAAATGAGTTTGAGACATTGAGTTTCCTGGGTTGACATTTATATCTTTGCTTGTGTGTGTGTGTGCGTGTGTGTGTGCGTGCGTGCGTGCGTGTCTGTGCGTGTGTGTGTGTGTGTTCAGCAGTGCACTGTGGCCTGAGTCAGAATGGTCTGGAGCTGCACCCGGAGGACGTGACATCACAGCTCGAGGAGGAGGAGGAGTCAGTGGACGCCGGGCCTCTCCCATTGGACAACAACCTCAGCCCCGGTTACCACGATGTCAGCCCCGGTTACCATGACGTCAGCCCCGGGTACCACGACCTCAGCCCCGGGTACGACTTCTGCCCGCCCGGGTTCCAGCGCCGGCCCCCTCCCTACCGCTCTGTGTCCGAGTCGGAGCTCTCCAAGGTACTGACTCCTCCCACTTCTGTCTCTGGGTCCAGGGTCCAGCTTCTATTTACTTGTTTTGAATTGTTCAGAACACTCACATGTCTCTGGTCTCTCTCTGGTCTCTCTCTGGTCTCTCTCTGGTCTCTCTCTGGTCTCTCTGGTCTCTATCTGGTCTCTCTGGTCTCTATCTGGTCTCTCTCTGGTCTCTCTCTGGTCTCTCTCTTGTCTCTCTCTGGTCTCTCTCTCTAGTCTCTCTCTGGTCTGTCTCTTGTCTCTCTCTCTGGTATCTCTTTAGTCCATCGCTGGTCTCTCTCTGGTCTCTCTCTGGTCTCTCTCTTGTCTCTCTCTGGTCTCTCTCTCTAGTCTCTCTCTGGTCTGTCTCTTGTCTCTCTCTCTGGTATCTCTTTAGTCCATCGCTGGTCTGTATCTGGTCTCTCTCTGGTCTCTCTCTCTGGTATCTCTTTAGTCCATCGCTGGTCTCTCTCTGGTCTCTCTATAGTCTCTCTCTCTAGTCTCTCTGATCTCTCTCTCTCGGGTCTCTGGTAAATAGGAGCAGTCAAAATGACGGCGCTGGGACTTCTAGTGTTTACCATCCTGGTCTTTAACTTTTCTTCGTCATATAGACTTTTGTGACAATCATAATCTAATGTATGTCTTAGTAAACAAGTAAACAGCTGGATTCTAGAGCCTATATTGGTGGAGCTGAAGTTGGCTGGATGACAATTGTGTTTAGGATTACAGAGAATACTGAAGTTATCCAGGCAGACACAGACCCTGACACAGAGGACCGCATTTGGACCCCAGGCCTGAGTCTGGACACGGTTTTCATCAAACTTGGAGCTAATCTTCCCAAATCAGAGCCTTATTATTATTAATAATCCTGAGAGAAGCCCTGAAGTCTCTTTAATAATCTTCTATATTTGGCTTCACCTTTGATTAAAAATGTAATAAGCAGCACATTCATCTTCCTGAAGTCTTGGACCCACTCAGTCCTGGACTAAGAACCAACAGCTCTGGTCAGAACCGAGACCGAGCTTCAATTAATCTGAACCCAGCAATGCAGCAAACAGACAAACTGAATAAAAACATAACCTACACCCACCCTCAGTCCTGCTCCAAACGGCCTCAGTCCTGCTCCACACGGCCTCAGTCCTGCTCCGCACAGCCTCAGTCCTGCTCCACACAGCCTCAGTCCTGCTCCAAACGGCCTCAGTCCTGCTCCACACGGCCTCAGTCCTGCTCCGCACAGCCTCAGTCCTGCTCCACACAGCCTCAGTCCTGCTCCACACGGCCTCAGTCCTGCTCCACACAGCCTCAGTCCTGCTCCGCACAGCCTCAGTCCTGCTCCACACAGCCTCAGTCCTGCTCCACACGGCCTCAGTCCTGCTCCACACAGCCTCAGTCCTGCTCCACACAGCCTCAGTCCTGCTCCACACAGCCTCAGTCCTGCTCCAAACGGCCTCAGTCCTGCTCCACACGGCCTCAGTCCTGCTCCACACAGCCTCAGTCCTGCTCCACACGGCCTCAGTCCTGCTCCACACAGCCTCAGTCCTGCTCCACACAGCCTCAGTCCTGCTCCACACGGCCTCAGTCCTGCTCCACACGGCCTCAGTCCTGCTCCACACAGCCTCAGTCCTGCTCCACACAGCCTCAGTCCTGCTCCACACGGCCTCAGTCCTTCTCCACACGGCCTCAGTCCTTCTCCACACAGCCTCAGTCCTTCTCCACACGGCCTCAGTCCTGCTCCACACGGCCTCAGTCCTTCTCCACACAGCCTCAGTCCTGCTCCACACAGCCTCAGTCCTGCTCCACACAGCCTCAGTCCTCGTTCTACAGTCTGAGTGGTGGAGCTGTCTCGGATCCTTCCCTCGGTAAAGCGACGGTCCGAGACATTTAGTAACATTTAGTGTCATTGATAATCATGTTCCTCATAGATCAGGGATGTCAAAGTCAAATACATCAGACGCCTTAAAAACACATTTTCTACAATCCGAGGAGCGGACTGGTTCAATGTTTATTAAAATGTATTAAAATGATGCAAAAAACCTACTGAACCAAGACCTTACACAGTGGACCGTATTTCAGTTCATGATTAAATTAATAATCTAATATTTTCTTATGTCTCTGTGTGGCCGGTTCTATTACTAATCAAATATCATCCCGGGGCCAAGAGAATTCATTTCCGGGCCGGCTCTGACCCGTGGGCCTTGACTTTGTCCCCCATGATGCTACAGGCCGATGGCTCCTATGAGATTGTTATTATTGAATTTCCTGTGTTTTGCACTGATTGATTCTCTGATCTGTTGTTGGTGAATGGACAACTTTGTAACGTCTTCCAAGATGACTGCTGCTGTGATTTAGGACTTTACGGAGCAAATATTATTATTCAAGTTATATTCTGAGTCGGTCGATTGTGTTGAGGATAAAATGGATACTAGTTACTGTATTTACAAAACTTTTATTTAACAAGACCAGACCCACTGTGATTTGAGGGGAGGAGCCAATTGTGCATGTTTTTTTTGTTTTGCCTTGTTCTGCTCAAAAGAAAAGCCCCCGGTGGGATACATAAAGTATTCTGAATCTGAATCTAAATGTAATCAAAGTAAGTTATCTTTTCATTTTAAATGTTTTTGTTGAGTGCAAAACCAGAGCACCCGGAGGAAATATATAGATGACACAGGGAGAAAATGCAAAATTCCACACGGGAAGTTCCTGTGTCGCCCCAGAAATCAAGCCCGGAGTTTCTTTACTGTGAATTATCTGTACGACAAAAGACCAGCACTAAAAGAAGAATCAGCAGGAGCCAATCACACTAAAATAACTTGAGAAAGACCAGAAGACTTGAATAATATTTGTTTGAACACACTGATGTTTCTAAAACACTGATGTTTTTTTAAACATTCTGGATCACCTGACTCTTAAGATATGGCTGCAGTACAGAGCTCGGCCACCAGAGGGCAGCGTGAGACTGGGAAATGTAGCTTCATGAATCTGAACTCCTCTAAATGCATAAACTACAATATACCGCAGAAAAACTGACTTATTGACACCAACTTGTACATTCCCCTTTCTTTCAATAGAATGCATAGATTTATTTTTTTACTTTTTAAGCAGAAATATGTAAGATTTGCATGTCAAGTCTTAAAGCGCCCTAATCTGTCATAATAATAAACTGCTCTTTTCCAATACTTCTTTAACTGATAACATTAGTTCATAGATATTTGATTTTCTAAATTACTTTTCCAGCCTCTAAATCTTGTTATTGTTTTCATTTCGATGTCCCGCCCTCCACCGTTTCACCAATCAGAAAGTCTGTGATCCGGGCGCCAGAACTCACGCATGAAAAAAACAGGATTTCTATCTTTGTGAAAAAGGTGTTGGTTATAGATTTGTTGTTGACAAAACTCTCTCTCTTTTATGGTCCCAGCTGGATTCGTCTGCATATCTGGCAACCTGAGTCAGGGAGAGTGGGAGAGGCTGCAGTACCACTTTGGGCCACATTTTTACACAGTGCCACTTTAAAGCTGGGGTACACAACACATCAGACCAGATGTGTTCTCCAAATGTTACAGTTTACAAGATTCTTTCTGGACTCTTTGTTTGAGGATAAATAAAAATTAGTTTCAGTCAAATCAAACTCAAAAAAGTGAGGTACCCTATCTTTAATCAATTCAAAAGTCAGGTTTATATCACAGTAAACAATGACGACAAGTTGCAACCAATGCTCTCTCTCTGCTTTGGTCTCGGAGCTCTTCTCCAACACCCAAAACAAAAATCAGACTTGAGCAAAAACAATCAGCCCCAATCCCATTTGAGATGATCCAAAATCAACTCCAGAACAACTCGCTGCTTTTATGCGTTCGGCCGCAACGTCAGACTTTGTAAAAAAAAAACTATTGAAAGTTTTGAAAGGCAGCGATCTAAGTCCACGCAGCGATAAGTGAAGCGGCTAAATGTGTTTTATCGTCCCGAGCCAAACCGGCCCACTTTAAAAATCAATGTGCCTTTAAGTGGAGCCACATCGAAAAGAATGTAGCGCTGTAGTCTTCTTTTCAAAGTGCTCCAATTTAAGAAGAGATCGCCTACAGAGATCTGTCAGTCGTTGATCGAAGAAGCCATTTTGACTTTGATGATCGAGAGGCGTGGCCAAACTTTGACAAAATCACTTTAAAATAACTTTTCTTCAGAGACTTGTTGTGATGCATGAGATTATTTATGTGTGTGTTTTGGAGATGGTCCTAAAGCACTCGGTGGCTGAGTGGTTAGCATTCTGGATGCTCTCTGAGTGGAGTTTGCATGTTCTCCCTGTGTAAATGCAGAGGGCACATTTCCCTACAAGGGCAATAAGTTTAAAGAATAAAAAGATTGTAAATTTGACTTATTATGGAGCTAATATGTTTATTATTTTAATATGTTTAGCTTATGGAAAACATGTGTGTGTGTGTGTGTGTGTGTGTGTATCTGTTTGTCTGTGTGTGCGTGTATGTATGTATGTGTGCGTGTATCTGTAGGTGTGTGTGTGTGTGTGTGCGTGTGTGTGTGTGTGTGTGTGTGTGTATCTGTTTGTCTGTGTGTACGTGCGTGTTTCTGTGTGCGTGTATGTATGTATGTGTGCGTGTATCTGTTCGTCTGTCTTTGTGTGCGTATGTGTATGTATGTATGTGTAAGTGTGTTTGTGTGTGTCTGTATTTGTATGTGTGTGTGTGTAGGTGTGTATGTATATGTGCGTGTATGTGTGTCTGTTGGTGTGTGTGTTCGTGTTTTGTCTTTGTGCGTGTGTATGTCTGTGTGTGTGTGTATTTGAATGTGTGTATATGTACAGTGTGCAGTGTGTGTGTGTGTGTGTGTGTGTCTGTAGGTGTGTGTATGCATGCATGTGTGTGTGTGTGTGTCACCAGCTTCTCATGAATTCTCTGATTTGGAGAAGTCAGAATATCACACAGACGTCTCAGACTTTGGCCTAAAAGCAGCTTCTCTTTTGGGTTGACAGTTTCTTTCCTTCTCTAACTGAACCCCAGCTCCTCAGGTTTCCATGGTGACACTGAAGATTTTTCCAAAACAACATTCTGGGCTCGAACAGAAAGTTTTCGGTCCACATTACCCTCACACTGACCCACTCAGAGTCACACCTCCTCTCTGCACACACACACACACACACATACACGTTTTTGTTACCTGGTGGGTCCCTTTGACAGGGCCGTTCAGAATGGGACCCATAGACATAATCTTTTTTTACTGGGACTACTTTAAGTAATACAAAACAGTCAATAGAAACCAAACAACTATTTTAAAGGAATTTTATTTTAGATTTTGTTTTCGAATTGCAGTGATTCTATTTTTGACATAAAATTTAATGCCACTCCATGTCCGATGTCTAAGGTCATCTGGTGAGGCATTAATGCAGGCCAGGCCAGGCCAGGCCAGGCAGTGAGACTTCCCAGGGACCTTTCCAGTCTGTATGAAAGGTGTCATGGTCTTCTCCACAGCCTTCACCTCAGATGCAGACCATGGCTTTCTTACACGTTCTAGGGAGAGAAATAAAAATATATTAGCAATATACACTCCCAGGGTTAGGACCAAGCAGCCTGGCTGTAATCCCCCACCTGGTACACTTACCAGAAGGGGCACTGCCACTACCATGGGGTGCATCTGGATGAATGGTTGAAGGTTCTCCGCTTGAAGTTTCTTTTAGCCCGTCCGTTTGTGAGAGGATCTCTACTGCTCTCCCTGTCGCACAGAAAATAAAAATACAAGTGGCCTTTAGGGGAAAAAAATCATACATATTTTAATAATATCAAGAATTACCTTCAGGCTCAATTTGTATCTGGTCGAGGCTCTTTCCTTCGAATTCCGTCACTCTTCCCTGCTCCATGGCCATCAACACTTTGCTGATTTTGGCCAGCTCCAGTGTCCCCTCTGGTAGTCTGTAATATTGCCTGTGGATGCGAATGTCATGGCCGAGGAAGTTGGCAAGTATGTCCATCTCATTCTCTTTCATATTGAGAACTGTAGACATAGTAGCTATGTGCTTTCTAAGTTTGGTTGAGGATAGCATCTCTGGATGCACCGCACCACATTCTTTGGCTACCTGGCGTAGGGAGTCTGATCCCCTGATGTGGGTGTCTGCGCCCGGGCGGGAAAAGAAGTATGGGTTATGGTCAGAGATGGAACAGGCCCTTCTGTTCTCCACCAGCACCTCCATCGAAGCAATCATTTCAGGAGTCAAAAGAACCGGCACTTTCCGACTTCTTTTCCCTTTAATTTCAATGCGTTGAAAATGCTGACACAGCTTTTTCTCAAGTTGGGACAGTCCCAGAGCAATGTCAGAATGGATCCCAGTCTTACTTCTTAAGGTAAAGGCTGTCAGTGGCATCTTTGAAACCTCACCTTCCCTTCTTCGATTGAAAATGATGACCTCACAAAGAGTCAAAACTGCCAGTTTAGACCAATGCTTAGACGTTGGCTCACTTATTAGGGTTTGCACATATTCAGGTCGACATACCTCAATATGTGCATGCATGGCTCTAACGTCCTCAGTCAGAGGGAGCAGGTCCGGAGTGTTCCACTTGGCTTGCCGGAGGGTCTGTAGGGCAGCAGAAGAAACACAGACGTCCCACCTCTTCTCAAAAAGCAGCCGGCTTCGTTGGAGGTTTTTAATAAATAGTTCATCAACACAATGCTCCATTTTTGAGTCACATTCAAGAATATCTGCTAGCTTTCTGAGGCTATGGCCGAGTTTGAGGGCCAAGGATGGAGTCTTGTATTGATTTGTTTCCTCATCATATCCAGCCACAGACCTGACTGCATCAATCACATGGTTAAAGTTGGAAGGAATAAAGAAATCCTTAATTGTTTTCAGTTTCCCTGCGGTTTTTGCTTCGTTAATTAACCTACCGACTTCTCTCATTTTCTGCCTAATGTAATCATGCTTAGTCTTATCATGCCCGTGTTTTAAGTACAGGTGCTCTCCGAGTCTCAGAATCCCCTTTTCTGCTTTGACAACACCCGTGACCTCATCCTGATGCATTGCCGAAATTAAAGACCACAGCTTTTTGCTGATGCCCTCCGGTACAGGCTGGGCTAGGGAGCAGAGGGACTGGACCCTACTTCTACCTGGTTTAGCCTGGGCATCTTTCTGTGAAAGCCGGCACCTGGCCACATGCCTCCACAGCGACTTTCGCTTAAGCAATGCCCCACAGTCTATACAGTGCAAAAACTCACTGGATTTAACTGGGGAATTTGGCTGTTTAGCTGGGACTAAAGTTCCAATGCCGGCCTTTAAAACCTCAAAATTGTGCTCACGGTTTCCACTATTCCTGATCAAATCAAACTGAAGTTTACGTGCTTTAGATTTCACAGGTAGAGCCAATGCTCTGGCTACGTCACTTTCATTTCCATGTTTTCTAGTCAAATGACGGGACATTTTGTGGCAGGACATTGAACAGTAGAGGCAGAAGTGTCTCTTGCTGTAAACTCGCCCCCCATTTTTCTTCTTTTGCAGCTGCATGATAACAATCTTATTTGCCTTTGGTTCGTCACTTTCCGAGTCTTGAAGAAAAGTGTTTTTGATTTTTCTTTTTCCATACTTTTTTACAGGTTTCTTCTTGACAGTTAAATCGTCAGAATCTGAGTCGACTTCATCAATTAGGGACTCTTGACTAAGCTGCACAAACAACAAATAATTTGTAATCATTCTATATAACAATTTGAAGTCATGACTTGTAGTCAGCACTTACCAGTGGTTTGTAAGCGTGCGCTTCAGTGTGCTCCTCCATGATTTCTTGCAGCCTAATGAACCACACACTTGCACCTTTTTCTAGCCTGACACCTGATTTCCTCTGTTGTGCTGCTCCATGATTGGCTCCAGCCAGCTGGACTGAAATTGCCCCAGTGTGCCCCTCCTTGATATCCCGCAACCCACCACCAGGGTTCCGACACATAACACACTTTTTTCAGGAAAGTAAACCTCCAGGGGTCCTTTCCATATTT